AGAGCTGCCCTACAAGCCTCAATGTTATCTCTTACTGTGTCCATACAAAAATAGCTAGTATTGGTATGTTGATAGTTCTTGGACTGAGGAAAAGAGAAAAACACCTTAAGGGGTATATTGCCCTTGGGCAGTCAGCTAGGACTTTGGAATATCCTACCTGGTGTTCCCTTTGAACTTGGTGAGGCCTCAGGAAGGGCTTTCTTATGTTGATTTTGCTACCTGACTGGGTGCAGTGTCAGCCCTAACTGCAGAGCTGGAGAGAGGAGAGAGCAGGGCTGCAAGACCGACCTCAGAGAGACTAGCAAGGGGAACACAGGCCTGAGAGAATGGGAGACAGGAGTGAATGGAGAGAGGATTGGAATAAACTGCAACTAAGACAACCAGCCAGGCTCTCGTTTCTTCCTCTGTCTGCCCTTGGCCAACAGCCGATCCAGGCCACACACAGCGGCTCAAGAGCACCGAACACGGGCAATGAGACAGAGCCGTCCAGAGAGCCCGCGAACTCACAACCTTCAACGTGCATAGTTTTTCACACTTTCCTTCTCTTCTTCTTCTTTCTTTTTTCCTTCCTTCCTTCCTTCCTTCCTTCCTTCCTTCCTTCCTTCCTTCCTTCCTTCCTTCCTCTTTCTTTCTTTCTTTCTTTCTTTCTTTCTTTCTTTCTTTCTTTTTGGTTTTTGGGGCCATATCTAGCAGTGTTCAGGGGTTACTCCTGGCTCGGCACTCAGGAATTACTCCTAGCAGTGCTTGGATGGGATGCCAGGGAGTGAACCCCCGTTGCTGCACGCAAGGCAAACACCCTTCCATTATACTATGCCTCCCCACTGTACTATCGCTCCGGCTCCATAAACCCACTTTCTGAGGAACACAAAGCCTGTTGTGGATCCCATGTCATTTCACATGCCTGAGACCAGATACTCGGAAGATTCTGGGATCCTGAACTCTTGTCAAGTATCTCAAGCCCAGCTTTCTCCAAGATCTTGAGAAAACTCATGATCTCAGTGTTAGGGCGCGGATCGTGACCTCCCTTTAATGACAAAGAGACTCCAGAGACTGCAAACAGCAAGCAAGGTTTATTGTAAGACTGGCTAGCCAGGGTCAAGCCGCCTACACAGACACGCATGTCAGTTAGGTGAGGCAAGACCCCGAACCTCTTCAAAGGGGATCTTATATAGGCCTTCACTGGCCGCTACAGCAAAGCCCGCGCATTTCATAGCCAATAGATTTGTAACAACATATGCTTTCTTAACCAATCCAATTAAGGATACATCACTTCTTAGCCTATAGTTTAAAGATCAGTATTTTGTGTCAGTGCTTAGGAACTGACAGGTTTTTAAGGCAGTCCTGGGTCTTGCAACATGGGTCTTGTGAGAGACATCCGGTTATCTGGTCTGACCCCCACCCTTCTAGTACCTGTATCTGAATTCCTTGCTCAGGGGCAGAAAAACCAGTTATTTTGCAGTGCAGGCTCCTATAAAGCAGATCTGAAAAAGCTTATCTAGACCTGTTCCTTGAAAAACAAGTTATTTTGCAATGCAGGTTCCTATTAAGCTAAGCTAAATTAATTCTGGTGGTAGTCCATTTTGGGCTTGTCCCTCACACTCAGCTTTGGCTACGCTCCCCTCCACACCCAGAAACTTCATCTGTTTCCAGTCAAATCTGATCTCCGTGCAAACTCAGCACCTAGAGAGATTCTTTTCTTGCTGCTTTAGACCCTTTGACACAGAACAAAAAAATGTACCTTTCTGACAAAATCACTAAGCTACACCCATGCTCTGCTGAAGTCCTTCTTCAGACATCTCTCCAGTTATCTCTGTAAATCACTCTGCATCCGTACTCCCTTGGGGTTCAAGGCCTATAAGGAATCCAGTGGCTGAATAAAGACACAAAAATCAGCCTGCCCCCTACCCTCACCACAGATTCACTCAGCCCCACCATGCCTGGTTGGCACTGAGCTTCAACAAACCAATGTTAATATTAAACTGCCTAAGTGCCACGTGTGGTTAGAAGCAGACCTCAGAGTCCAGGGTTAATCCCAACTTTTGGAACCTGCTCAAGCATGTGTGATGGCTGGGTGGGGGCTGGGGAGGAGGATGGTGGGGAGCAGTGCCGTCACCAGGCAGGTTAAAAGACCTTGCATGTGGGGGTCGGGAGATTGGAGCATGTCCTTCTGCTCAAGGAGGAACGTTTTTTTCCCTGAGAAGCTCCTCAAGAATGACCTATAGTTTCTCTTCCTAAAAATTAAGCAAGAGGGGCTGGAGTGATAGCACAGCAGGTAGGGCGTTTGCCTTGCACACAGCCAACATGGCCGACACAGGTTCGATTCTGAGCACCCCATATGGTCCCCTGAGCACCACCAGGAGCAATTCCTGAGTGCATGAGCCAGGAGTAACCCCTGAGCATCGCTGGGTGTGACCCAAAAGCAAAAAAAAAAAAAATTAAGCAAGAGCCTTCTTCAGCAGCTGTCTCATCAATAAAACCATCTCCATGCAACCTCTTCCTGGAGCAGTCTCTGAGCCTCTGGTGTCAGAAAGACAGCTGTTGGATCCAGAGTTATCTGGAATACAAGAGATGTTACAAAAGACACCCCTGTATTAACTCTGCCTGCGCCCTTGGTGTCTCCATTTACATAGGCTGCAGCACTGGAGGCTGACATTAAAGTGACTGAAATGTGTCGCCTTGGAAAAGGGGATACTTAGCTCAATGCAGGCTCAGCATCCAAAGGTCTCTGGAAGATAATTAGCCCAAACTTGCAGAAGTCCCCTGCACCCCTGTTCTATCTACTAGTGTTTATGAGTATGAATTCATTAGTATGACTTCATTAACATCCCATTCAGGGCTGGAGCAATAGCACAGCGGTAGGGCGTTTGCCTTGCACGCAGCCAACACGGCCGACCCGAGTTCCATTCCTCCGCCCCTCTCAGAGAGCCCGGCAAGCTACCGAGAGTATCTCGCTCGCAAGGCAGAGCCTGGCAAACTCCCCGTGACGTATTCGATATGCCAAACACAGTAACAACAAAGTCTCCAATGGAGACGTTACTGGGCCCGCTCGAGCAAATCGATGATCAACGGGAAGGCCTTTACCTTTACCTTAACATCCCATTGAAAACTTTCATGAGTGGATACAGAGTCTCAGAAGAATTAAGGAATAAGTGAGTGTAAATCTATAAATTTGATTTGTAAATTTGAGTGTAAATCTATAAATTTGATTATAAATTTGATCATTATGCTCTCTGTCTGTGGTCTAGACCATGATCCTAAAATATATTCTGGAAGGAAGGGATACAGGTGTAAGCAGATATGGACAATCAGGAGCAAGGTATAACATGTAGGTCAAGGGATGTATGAGTTGGCCTGGGTACAGTCTAGAGGCTGATTGTGGAGGGGTGGAAATTGCTAGAGAAAAGGAACTTTAAGACTCCAAAGTATAGGCCCAACGCCATAGTACAACAAGATGCAGCAGATCATGTTCGATCTCCTAAGTCCCATATGGTTCCCTGACTCCCACCATGATTGATCCTGAACGGAGAGCCAGGAGTAAGCCCTGAGCACTGCCAGTTGTAACTCTTCTCCTCAACCTTCCAAATCCCCTACCCCAAAGATCCCAGAATATAGACATCTTCAAGACATTTCTGAGGTGGTACTGACATCAAGTGTAAAAATATCACTTAATCACTTGACTTCCCGTTAATCAGTGATTTGCTCGAGCGGGCGCCAGTAATGTCTCCATTTGTTCCTGTCGCGTGCTAGTGTAGCCCAATTGTGTCTGTTCGCTCCAGGAACATGAAAAGCCTCAAACCGATCGTTCATGATCTTGATGAAGAAGTTTGACCATATGGTAGGTGGGCGGCCACGCAGTCTTTTGACATCCCGTTGAATCCAGTCGGTAACGGCTCTAGTCCAGCGGTCGTCTTTAAATCTCATTACGTGACAGCCCATCTGATTTTTGACACCTTGGCAAACAAGACAGTGTCCCTGATTCTTGATCGTCTGCGGATGTGAGAACTCCGGATTCTTTCTCTCATTTGAGTGAAACGTGATATTCCAAGCATAGCTCTTTCTATTCTTCTTTGGGAGACCTGAATGGCGTTCTCATCCTGTTTGCATAGGGCCCAGGTCTCTGAGGCATATGTTAATGCAGGAAGAACAGTGGAATCAAAGAGATGTGCCCGGAGCCGGAGGTTCTTCGTCCTCTTAGCTATTTCTTCGACGTTCTTGAAGGCGTTCCAAGCCGCTCTCTTCCTCCTGCGCAGCTCGGATGCCAGGTCATTTGTCATGTTGACTTCTTGACCTAGGAACACATAACTGTTGCATTCGGAGATGGTCGTTCCATTGAGAGCGAATGGAGCGTCAGGAATGAGGCTGTTTCTCATAAACATATAAAGATAAATAAAAATATAAGCTACTGAAGATCAAATGAAGTATGTCAGCACTTCATAAATGTTAGTGTCTCTAATATAAAGGACAGACAGGACAAGAGCTGAGACAGGAGCAGAGCAAAGGACCTGTCAAGTAGACTTTGGGAGGATTTTACTTTTAAGAGTTTGGTTTTAGGAAATCTTATGCTCTATTTCCTATCCTTCCTACATTACTGAATCATTTCTCCACTCCAAAGTTTCAGTGGCTCTCTTCCTTCTATAACCATGTAGACTCTAAGTTCAGCCTCAGGGCTCTCCACAGCAGACCCCTGTGGCCATCCTGACTGGCTCCCCACTAGTCTCTGCTCATCAGCTTCTAGGCTACGGGTGCTCTTGACCCACCCTTAACTATCTCCCAAATAGACTCCTTTTCCCCCAACCCAGAAGATTTTAAAATCTCCCACTCCCTTGATGAATCACTGGAATGCATGGCTTAAGAATAAACCCCTGTTCTTTTAAATTTTTGTAATGACCTTCAGTTAACTCTGAGGTAACTGCAAAGAACACAAAGTTCACTTCAAAATTGACCTTGTTGTGGCTGAGTTGTTCATTTACTCCCAAACAGGGTGTCATTCCTATGAAAAGATTAACTTTTCGCCTTGAATCTCATCTGGATTCATGGAGTATTGGGGAGTGAGCAACCCTTTTCTAACATATCCTGCAAGAGCCAGACCTTAAAGAGCTGCCTTGAGCACCACGTTACCGAAGGACTGAAAGACCCTAAAATCAGGTTTGTGTTGGGTGCTTTTTATGTACTGGGAGCTGGGAAAGGAGAGGCAGCAGAGGGGAGATTAAAATCAGAGTTGGGCTGGCATGAGTCATGGTAGCTACTAACTGGGTTTACAGGTAAAAGTTCTGGCACAAAAGAGGGAATGCAGAGACCATCAGTGAACTGGTAGAGAGGCTGACTTCAAAAGACCCTACAGGAGAAGAGTATGTCCAGTGAAATTTAGTCATCAAAAACATGCAATCTCATGATGAAATACAAGTCCTTTGGAGAGGAAATGAGTCAAAATATATCCCCTCAAAAAGACCTGGAGAATCTAAAAGTGACAGTTCCTCCTTCAGATCTCTGAAGGATATGGTACAATGAATGGTATAATGTGAATATACCATTCACATTATATCTTGATTACTGCTTCCTGGCCACAGACCAGGGAAACTGACACCACTACTGCTGGAAGTGAATGCTCTCAAATAATCACAGAGGTGTCATTTTTTGGGGGGATGCATTTGTTTGGAACTGGGGCCAGAATGTTGATATAGTGGGTAGGGCACTTGCTTCACATGCGATTGTTCTGGGTTCAATTGGGTCCATTGAGTCCCCCAAGCCTACCAGGAGTGATCTCTGAATGAAAAGCTAGAAGTAAGCCCTGAACACTGACAAGTGTGACCCCCAAACAAAAACAAACAAAAAGAACTACAAAAATTGGTTTGGAACTAGAAAATAATTTTCTCTCACAAAGAGTCTGTGATTGGGTAAGGTTGACTCCTTCAATAAAAATGGGAGAGTTGCTAAGTATAGTGTATATAGGGTGTCATAGTATAAAAAGGAAAACATATCAATAAGGCAGAATCACGTCTTGAAATTGGATCAAAAGCTTTTTGATATTTTCTATTTCCTGATACCATGCAAAACTCTGAAGGCCCTAAATCACTAGATTGTTTGCATGGTACAACACTGATTCCCACAAGTTCTCTGCGAGATAGGCAGTCATATGTTCATTCACATGACTAAAATTAAAAACAAGGGTGTGTTATATCAGATAGAGTGCACATTTCCTCTGAGATACCACTTGAGAAACTTTAGTAATATCCCAAAAGCTTGGATGATTTTCTCTAGGAAAGGATTCACATACTATATCATAGTTAACAGCAAATGAGTCACCGAAACCTTCCTTCTCCTTTGATCTCTATCCCTGATTTCTGGCAAAGAGCTACAGAAATCCTTATAATTTCCTGAATTATAGAAGTATATTTTGTTTCATTGAGGTGACTCTGGATGGATTCCTGACTGATTCCTGGTCAATTGGAAAGACAAAGCCATGATTAGAAGCTTAACACTTTCAACCTCCACTCTCCACTCCATTCTCTTGAGAAAGAAAAGAGAGTTAGGGTTGGAGTGATAGAATAGAAGGTAAGGTATTTGCTTTGCACATGACCAACCCATATGGTCCCTGAGCCCCATCAGAAGTGATCCCTGAGCACAGAGCCAGGAATAAGCCCTGATCACTACCAGGGTGGCCCCAAAACAACATCAACAAAAAAGAGCTAATGATTGGTTAGCCATGTCTATCTTATATAACCTATACAAAAACCCCAACACCATGTGGTTTAGGGATTCTAGTTTGGTGAACACATGTAGGTTTATAGACAATTATATTCTTGAATTATAATCCTTTTATAATAAAATAGTGATCTAGTTAGTGAAGTGTTTCTCTGAGCCTCTAGCAAATTAATTGAAATTTTTAAGGGATTCTAGGCACTTCCGATTTGTAGCCCCAACATCAAAGCCAGAGATAACAGCCTGGCCTTGTGACAGACATTTAAAGTTCAAGGAAGGGACTCATTGGAACCTCTAATCTGTTAGTCAAAAATGCAGATAACAATCTGGGTTTGCAATTTGGACTAGTATCTGAAGTTTTGAGTGCTGGTTTCTTGCTATACTGATCCCTCAGCCTATCTAATCTGATCCTCAGATTAGATTAGATATTCCTTCAAAACTGAGTTCAATTATAAATCATACCATCGATTCCAAAGAATACATAAGGATATGGGACAAACCTGCTTACAGAAGACTAGATGTGAAGAAGGATATTTTTTGTTTGCTTGTTTTTGTTTGGGGGTGGGGAGTGAGCTGTGGTAGGGTTCATTCCTGGCTCTGCACTCAGATCACTCATGGTGGGATTTGGGGACAATATGGGGTGCAGAGGACCAAACCCGTGTCAGCTGCATGCAAAGCAAGCACCCTACTTACTATACCATCAATCTGGTCAAAAGAGAAGAGTTTTGTGTGTATAGTTAAGGAAAAACAGAAAAGGAAAGAAGGAGCTTTTCCCTACAGAAAGAGAAACTTCAGGTTTTTTTTCCAAAACAAAGGCTCATGGAACATTGTAAGTAGCTGAAAACTAGGACTGTTGGAATTGAAATATAGAGTATTATCATAGTAAAAGATAAGACAATAAGAGAGAGAGAACAAAAGGGAATGCCCTGCCACAGAGGCAGGGTGTGATGGGGGGATGGGGGTGGGAGGAATGCTGGGATCCGTGGTGGTGGGAAATGGGCACTGGTGGAGGGATGGGTATTTGATCATTGCATAATTGAAACCCAAGCACAAAAATGTGTAAGTCTGCAACTGTACCTCATGATGTCTCACTATTAAAAATTTTTTTAATAAAAAAAAGATGAGGCAGAAGACACATAAATATGGCTACATCTACAAGCTCTAAAGCAAGTGCTGGAAAAAATGCAGTTCAAGCTTTGTTCTGAAGATTTGTGAGGTTGTTTTGTTCATTCTCTCCTTTCTGACTTCCATCCAGGAACTCTCCTAATTTCCTAGCTTTCATGGGAATTGACTAAGCTCACAGGATGCAGCTCTGCAACTTCACAACACAGAGACCAGAACACCCCTCCTTCCACTGACACTCCGTTCTTTCTGGCTTAAGTCAGAGGAATCCCTAGTTGGCTTTGCCACTTTCATCATGTGAGCTTGGACATGTCACCTCAATTCTCTGGGTTTTAATTTTTCATTTGTATAATGGGACTTTTTGTCCATTTACTGTCTTTATCTGTGTTTGGCATATCAAATACGTCACGGGGAGCTTGCCAGGCTCTGCCGTGCGGGCGAGATACTCTCGGTAGCTTGCCGGGCTCTCCGAGAGGGGTGGAGGAATCGAACTCGGGTTGGCCATGTTGGCTGCGTGCAAGGCAAACGCCCTACCGCTGTGCTATTGCTCCAGCCCCAGTAACAACAAAGTCTCCAATGGAGACGTTACTGGGCCCACTGGAGCAAATCGATGAACTGTCTTTATCACACTGGGTTATTATTAGCAACAAATGGAACAAATTTGCAAGAGAGTTGCTTATGAACAACTAAAGTGTAACATATTTTTACTTTCTGATGGAGTGATCTTGTTGAAGGAATGAAGCAAAGCAGACTCTGCACGCTGCACTTGAAACGTTGGGCTCATTCTATGAACCACACAAGATTGCAGGTATTTATTTTTCTCATGATGCTGAAGAGTCAGGCCAAGGGTGTCAGAACATATTGCTAAACATGTGATGGTGGACACAGAATTTTAACTTTTATGACATTTCTCACCTGTGAATCAGGTATAATATCTGTGTCTGGAGATAATTCTAAAGAATGAGACATAAATGTACATAAAATAATGTACCCAGTAGATGGCACATCAAGAAGAACTCGATAAATTGTTGCAATTTTAATGTTATTATTAAGGGAACTTTATGTTGTCCCAAAATTATTTACATAATCAAATTTTCCTTTGTGTCCACACAATACGAAAATTCTCAACCTTTCAAAATACCATATGTGAACTTGAATCAATATCTTCCATGAATGCCCTATGTGGTTCCCAACACAACATAGATATCTCACAGTATGGCTGTACTCCAAAACTCTACTTGGAAATCATTTATTCAGAGCTCAAAACATATTTTCCCATAGAAGGAATGCTATTAAAATAGTGACTGCTTTCCCAAGTGACCGAAAATACCCGCTTAGTTCACAAAGTATCAGAAAATAGGTATATTTGCAATGCAAATCTGTATAAAGGAATCCTTTTGTATTGCAAGTCACTGGGCAAAGTTTAAAATCCAGAAAATTTTACCATAAATATTTAAAGAATTTTAACTAATTTACTATGAAATAAAGCAGATTTAATTTGAGGAAGAGAATTTCATGGAGAATTAAGTAACAAATTGATCTTAAGGTGACTCTGAAACTGTTTCAAAGGCTTTAGAGAATCTTTACTGGGTTTAATGTAAATTCAACTACCTTCCCTTTTTTTGTTATTGACATAAATGATGACAAAACATGAATCTTATGCAATATGATAGAGTCTCTTACAGTTTGTAAATGAAAAAAATAAATGGGAGAAATTGGGGAAAAGGAAGAAATGAGAGATTTCCCTAAAAACATTAGCCAATAGTTTGTGGAAACTGAGGAAAAAGGAAGAGATATTTGTATGTAGTAAAATAGGGAACAAGAAGTGCTGTTTTGGTAATAAATTATAACACCTGGTAAGAGGAAAATGGTGACAGCAAAAACCATACAGTCCCCACCGAAGCCCTAAGGTGAGGCCACATGGGAGACCAATCTGTACAACAAGGGCTGTAGGCTGTCAGGTAAGAGGAAAAGAAGAACATAAGGATCATAGGTAGGTGTTAGGAAATAAAGCCAAATAATATGGTGATACTGCACTTTTCGACCACACATTTGCTTCCCTTCATGATTCTGTTGAGTCAGGACATAAAGTGGGCACTGAGCTAGAAGGTAGATAAGACCATGTACAAACAGAGTCTTTGGGGCTGGAGAGATAGTATAGAGATTAAGGCACACCCCAACACTACGTGGAATCCATTGAGTACTCTCAGGAGTGGCCCTTCAAAAACAGAACCAGAAGTAAACCCCAAGTTCCTCCAGCTACATTCCCCCAAGATCTTTTCCCTTAAAAAAAAAAATTTTAAAAATGAAATAAATAAACATCG